TTTCTTACAGCTTTACTCTAAGCTAGTTTGCGCCTTTCGTTGAGCATGCGACAAAGTGCTTGGCATTTAAAATGGCACACTGCTATATTTAAAGCGGTTGGCATGAACAACGTACCGTACGTATTGACGAGTCCTTATGAGTTTCGATACTTTCGTCATCATAATCTTTAGCTGTTTCACGAAAAGCTGCGGGCTACTTGAGATTAGTTATATTCGTCTAAGTATTTTGCATTTTGTCACTGACAGGTGTTTACTACTGGAAACAGCAGAATTCTTGCTGCTTGACCGTACAACATCTTTGAAGAATCGCGTTGAAGTTAGAGTAATGATCAGCCAATGGGGTTCTGTTCTAGCGAATGTACTGACATAGTCGAATCAGGTGGAGAGAACCTTTGCACGACAATTACTGCGCAAGACCACCTTGCCTGGATGACCGAATTTACTAGGTTTGTTGTTCCTCATCTAGGAATGCAATCGGCATGTGTTAACTTGGCAGCAAACTATATACTCCACTGGCCGTTGGCCAGAGGGGGAGGCTTATATAGGACGTGTTTGAAACGCGTCAACGACACCGCTCTTTTGACTTGCATGTAGAATTCCAATGCGAACTTTTACGTTTCCTACAATCGACAGAACCCGTAAAAAATTGGACTTGTGTGCAGATCCTCACCTTCAATTCAACTAGATCAGTCGACTAGTGCTTTTTACAGCGTCCTTGTGCAAGTGGAGTTATAATTTAGATTACCAGGGACACCTGCAGTTGTTCAACATCTCTTTCACTATGAGAGCAGTTGTGAAGTACCTCGGTTTGGTTGTGGACCAGAGTTTCAGCCGGGAACCTCAGTTGAGCATCATAGTCAGCGAAGCTCGCCATTCTGTCTCGATATTGTGCCGTTTGAAAAGTCTGTGTTTTGGGCAGAGGTGCTGAACGAGATCACGTAAGCTGGCATATTGCCTCCTTATATATGATACACCCGTCAGCTTCACCAAATTCATTGTGAAACAGCAGCATTGGGTGAAATTTCTGGGCGGACGTCATATGCAACTGCATGCCGAGGAGCTTGTCACTCTCCTAAGAGAGAATCTCATTAAAAGAAGTGTTAAATTGAGCAAGTCGGTCCTGGCACACTATGCTCCTCCTCGTCGTTATCAGTATGTAACATCGTGCCTATTGAATAATTTACGCCGGATTGACCCTTAGAGAAAATCGGTCATCCCTTTCATAATAAGGTGTTTAATCGACCCTAGCAATGAAGAACTCAAGCTGTGGAAATCATAACTGCGTATGGTAAAATTACCATCGTCGAGTTTTTGTTATGCAGTGTATATCGCATTCGTAAAGATGCTTTTCTGATCTTGTGGTGGATGCCTACTTATCGTGTTCTTTAGGGGACATTTTAGTAAAAGTGAATGCTTGATTCATTTGCTGTTAGACTCTTAAGCATGTAGGCTGGCTTCAAGGATAATCTCCTGTCACTTCTCCAAATTCGTACCACATAATTGCAAGCCACGGCTCAGTGGTGTTTCAGCAATCGTCCGTAACAACAACAACGCCCTGTTTCATTGGTCTTGGCAGAATTTCGAAGTCGCATGTTGTTGGTAATGGCAACACGATATAAGCTTTCGAACGGTAGAATAATGACGTGGCACCGCAAATAAAACGCGTAATAGAACATTTTGTTGCATTCTGTTTCCTCTTTAAATGGCGATTTGCTGCAACGATCTTCGTAGAAATGATGTGTTTGAAGTAACAACAGCGTGTGAAGTTTTCTGGCCATGTTACTGTCAAACACCTGTGCTTCCCGATCGTCATCTACGTTCAGATTTCTTTCAGGGTATTCGATAAATACCCGGTTCCGAATTTTGAGTCTCATGATGCAGCTCAGCTCCACTCGTTCAGTGCACAGGTTCCCACCCTTTCCTATGTCCCGTACCTCTAAAAATTTTTAATTTGTCCTCACACTCCATAAAGCAGTTTAAAAAACAAAGACAAAATTGCATAATTAAATTTTAATAATCAGTAAAAATAAAGCATGAAAATAGGGAAATATTATAAAAGTTAACTTAATATAAATCTTGCAAAAATACTTAATGACTCTTTTGATCTTGTTTTTTGACTAAGATTTTTTCAAACCGTGGCACTCTATTGCTAATGGCATTTCGCATTGTGCACTTAAGCGATTTCGGAATTTTGTTTTGATTGACAAAAGGGCAATAAATCCAGACTCGCATAAGCATGTCGTAGCAAATGGTATGAGCGCAGTTAGTGCCTTTTCACTAAGTTTTGGCAACATATTCATTGCCATGCATCAATATTGCTCCGAAATATTGTTTTCAAACTGCATTTCAAAAACACGATTTGTGTGCAGTTCTAATAGGTCTTCCTTCAGTTAATCATCATCCGACATATTATCCAAATTGAAAGAATATGGGTTTAAAATCCATGTGTTAGAAATTTTCACATTGCCTTTAAAATACCCATCAAATGACTGATGATATTTCCATATGATCCGTAATTTCTTCGCATACACTTGGAATTATTGTTATCAACCACATCTTCGAGTGATGGAAAATCAGAAAGATTCCCTCTTCTAATTCGTCGACACCAAAGTTGTAATTTTTCTTTGAAACTGTTTGTCTTCTCGCAGCATGCTGATATGTTTACGTTTTTCCCTTGGATAGATAGATATATTGAGGGCATTCATACGAGTGAAAATATTATTCAAGTAGGCTAAAATTACGGTTCCGATAGAACGAATTCTTGTAATTCCATTTTGCCAACCAGATCATAGTCTCGTTCTTTTAGAAGTGCTTTGGCTTCTCGCAGTTCAGAAAAACGTGTTAAAGCATTCCCGCATAACAGCCAGCCGTATGGAGAACCAAAACCGAATGTTCACTTCCAGATTCTTCACAAAACAACTTAAAAAGGTAGTGGTTCAGATCGCGACCCCTAATCCAGTTGATGATCTTCACTGGTATCAAGGATTTTTTTAATCTTTGGAGGTAGTTTTTGATGCCACAGCATGTTGGGGAAGAAAACAATGGGTACCTTGTAAATGCGGAATCCTTTGTTTCATCATCGCAAAAAATCCTAATTTATTTCTTAACATAACAGGTGCTTCGTCAGTACACGCAGAATTAATAAATTGGATATCCAAGTAATACGTCGCAAAGAAGTTCTTCACATACTGGAAGACGTCTTTTCCTTTTGTGGTTGTTTTCATCTCTTCATAAAACTAGAAATCTTCCATTATGGTACATTCATGGAAATACCATATCAATGCAACGAATTGACAGTGATTTCAAACATCAGCTGTTTCAACCAACTGGAGAGAGATTTTCAAGGGACTTGCTCTAATATCAGCGGTAAATTGATTCAAAATGTTTAAACTCAAATCATTTATTCGGCTTTGAATAATATGATTTAATTTTTGTCATTTTTAATGCACACGGTTTTATCAACCCTTCCGCAGCTGTATGTGGCTTCTTCCATTTGGCTGCTTTATATGCATAAAGTATACGTAGTATAAAGCCATATACATACATAGTATAAAGCCATCAGCAGTAGCTTTTCGGTTGGTATAAACCCCAATTTTGGAAGGGTTGCTCGAGAGTCGAATCAGGTTCTTTTAGCTTTCAATGATTCAACATCATGGCCTGTAATTTATGCACAATGATTCCGGTTGTTGAAATGTTCCAGCAGTTTAGGCTTCAGATTTGCGTTTGAAAAGACAGCGCCACAAAGTATGCGCTGGGGTTTTTGCATATCAGCAGTTGTTCCGGTGAAAGTGAAACCAAACTTCGCATAATCCTCATTATTTCATTTTTTTCTCTTTTGCGTCATAAAGGGTTAATAATAACTGAAGTAATTTGGCCTAAAAATATAGATCAAGTCGATTAGAAGAAAAACAACAATAGTTAAGTAATATAACAAAAGTATACTCACCATTTATTAGAGGCAAAAGATAGATGAATTAACTAGCGTACGAGGATTAACTAGCGCGTAAACCACGCTGCAAAATATGGCTGACGTTAACTATAGGCGCGGCAAATTTGTTATGGACGAATGCGCAACAAATCTGTCTTGTACGTCTACCAATGTCGTGCGTGTAATTTTTAAACAACTATTTAATTTATGTTAAACAAAAAATCAGAATATTTTTTCGCGCCCCTAAGGGGTGCGACCACCTCTGGTTGGGAAGCCGTGGTTTAGTGCAGCATCATCAGAAACGCGTCAGAAGAATGACAACGACATACGGCAGGGATTTCGACCATTTGTTTATCCCAGGCTCGGCCGTTTACCGCCAAAGCTCCCATAACGACATAAAAGAACAGATTCAGTGGTTTGTCAAAATCCGCTTAGCGGGCTTCAGGGTTTTACAACATTAGTCGCGACGTGATGACCACAGTGCCTTACGACAGAAGTAACCAATATATTGCATGCACAGCGTACAGCTATTAAACACACAGCACAGAAACAGGGTCCTCCAATTCATTGCTCTGTCCTGGCATGCTCCACTGCTTTGACCACATCTCGGTCTCTATGACTCTGAAAACACGAAAGCGTCTAACCGTTTTGATATCGGTCTCCTTCCCATTTTCATAAGATGGCGCCAGTTCATGAATGTCCGCGGTGCCAGTGTCCGTTTCAGTGGTATCAGCCACAAGTGATGCCTTATTTTTTCTTTTTTTCTAACGCTGTGTATGCCACCTGGTGATTACAATGGTGTGTAGTTTCCTACTTTCATCCCATAAAGTGGCATTTATTTGTCTCGTTAGAAGGAAGAAAGTCGACTTATCCGACTGTTGCTCTAATCCAATTGTTGAAATGTATTTTTCCGGTTTGTTTAGGCTGCAGAGCGGAATATCTCACAGACGAATATTGGCATAACTTTTGGCCTGATCGAGTTGAGCACATGTGTATCGTCCAGCTTTCTGGGACATCAGGTTCGAACACGATTCTTTGCTAGTCTGTCTACTCGTTGCTACCTTCTTTGTAGATGACGCGGGTCGGTTCGAAGAACATGTTCGTGTTCGGCATGTTCGCAACGGCAGTGACCGCCGTGCTGTTCGGGTAGCACAATCGGTGGTGCTCTTCGTGCATGTATCAAATAACCACGGTTTTCAGGATGCTGAGTTTTATTTATGAAACTTTGGTGTACATCGTTTACAGCATGGTCATCCGTTGCCTCCAAGGAATTGCGGCTGCGGCGTTGATGACCTCGGCGTTCGCCCTCATTACCGCGCTGTTTCCGAAGCGCGTCGCGACGATGATAGTAAGTAGTTGGATGATATCCTTATTTGGCTATAATATCCATACACTACCTTCTTAGGGATTCCTTGAAGTGTTCGGTGGTTTAGGATTAACGCTCGGCCCTCCATTCGGTGGAGCGCTGTACGAGGTAGAATGACGAAAGCCTCTTTT